CAGTCATTACTCATAGAATCATAGAATGGTTTGGGTTGGAAGGGAACTTAGAGAACTTCTAGTTCCAACCCCCCTGCCTGGACATGATGTTAGCAAAGGGAGAAGCCTTATGGCAAGCGGGTAAATCAGTGACAGAATCTGAGCAGCAGTGACAAGATAACCACAGCAGGAACCACAGGTCTTGATCCCCTAACTTCGGAAAGTATGTGTCTCAGAAAAATACATGCAGTAATTTCCTTTCTTTAAAAAACACACACACAAAAAATAAACCAAAGAGAAGACAAAAGCTTCTCCTCCAGAGGAGCCAGCCAGCTCACTTTGCATTGCTCCTGTGTGCTTCCTCGTGTACAGGGTTACCCCTGAGCAAATTGCAGAAGGTTTTCATTAATTTCTAAGTGCAGGTTTCCACCAAGGCAGTGTTCATGGATCCAGCCAGAGAGCTGCTATATTATAAGGACAATAAATAAACTGTGGAATCCCATCAGCCTGAACTATTTTTATGGCATGTATTACAAACACATCCAAACATCCCATCTGTCGAGCATGTACTTTTACTACCACAGCATCTATGTGAGGTACAAAGTGGTAACATTTTACTTCCAAGACAGATGAAGATTTATTGTGCTGGAAGGAGGAGCTCCATGGGATTTTTCCAAAGCACCTATATATTAATCTGTAGGCACCAGCTGTCATGTAGATATGCTGTGGCTCTCCTGGAGCCACCAAGTTTATGGAGGAGTCCAGGGGAAAGCAAAGAGCCAACCTGGGGTTTCTGCTTCCACCATTGAGCTGTTTTCCCTACGTTTGGGTCTTTGATTTTCAAGCAGTTTCTGAGCTTTTCAATGGCCAGTCCAGAGGTATGTTTTGCTGCTGATTCCATGCATTTGTCTCTCCTTTCTGAGCTGCAGGTGAAGCTGCTCTGGGAGCAATTCAGATACAAAACTCGACTTATCATCTTTTGGCAGCACGCACCCCATTATGTTGCTTCTTAGCTTAAAAAAGTGCTCAGGCTCCCTCAACCCAACCACCAGAAGACTCATTTGGTCCCAGACGTTTCTGTTGGAAAGGCCCCATCCTAGCAGGAGGATGGAGACCAGCCCCCCAGCCCATGCCAGGACCCTGCTTCCTGCCTTAGCTGCGGTACAGGGAACAGAGAACTGCCTCAGGTGACCCCCTTATCTTTTCAGTCACATCTCCCCTCACACCTGATGTACTTTGCCTCCAATGCAAGGGCTCAATGACATGCACTTAAAAGATCTGCAGGTTAGCAAAACAAACAAAAGTGCTATGTTTTTCTTTTTTAAACTGCAGGAGACACCTGTGTGCACATCTCCACGTGGGGACGGGACAAGAGAACAAACATGCGGCAGATGTTAGTCGTGCTGGTCAGTGGATGCAGCAGATACAGGGAAGTGATGGCACCATGCCAAGCATCACCTTCACGGCTTCCAGAGGCAAACCAGCTCAGGGCAACAGCAGGACAGGCTGTGGGCACCACCCAGCACGGCTGGGAATGGTGGGACTGTGGATAGCTGGGCAGGAAGGAAAGGCAATAAATATCTTGCTCCTGCCTTTGGGAGGAAGCCAGATGAAGCATTCCTGTCACAAGGGTGAAATGTTTTTCACTCTAACAGTAACTCAGGAAGATGTTAAACAACAGTTGCATAAGGCAAATGTTAAAATCTCAGCAGTCCAGGTATCCTGCTTCTCAAAATTTTCAAAAGAAAAATAAATTAAAATTAACCCAAATGGTTAATGCTGACATTCAGCAAGACAAGGAAGCCTGGAGGAGCTCCAGAGAACAAGCTGGATGTTATGCCAGCATTTTAAAAAAGTAAACAGGATGGCCTTGTAAACAGGTGTGTCTGTTCGACAGTCATCCCATGCAAAATAATGACTGCAAAATATGTGATTGTATCGATACTTGAAGCAGAGAAATAAAAATACCAATCACTGGGGATTACAGATGAAAACCCAGTCAAACTAACATAGTGATTTTTGTGGTATACTCTTCAGTATCAGAGAGTGAGCTGGCTGGTACAGCAGTGTGTGACCTGTGTGACCCAGGAACAAGAGTGCGGGAGACCTGGCCAAGTGTGAGGCAGCAGAGGAGATACTCCCCAGGGGGCTGACATCAAGGATGTGTTCCTAGCAGAGAGTGCTAGCTAGTGTAAAGCTGATGACATGGAAGGAAATGAAGCCATGAAGCATGCTGTCCTGGGAGCCGCAGGCATGTCAATCATCTGGAGCTCATCGGATCCCTTGGGCAGTGGAGCTGCATGGAGAAAGATGTCCATCCTCTGCACTAGAGCCACCTGGTTCTGAGGAGGAAGTTGGGTGGCCAGAACAAACCAGTGCCTGTGCTTGTGCTCTCCATCATATTCCCACACCCCAGCTGGGGTCCAGACAGCCCGGCAGCACCTTCCATGCCGGGACTGAGCCTCCTCCCTGCCAAAATTATACTACTAAGGAGGGACAGGTTCGAAAAGGGATTGGAAAAGGCAGGGAACAAACCCCTAAGGGCTCCGCATGGCAGGACAGCCCATGCTCGCAGGGAGAGTGTCTTTCCCCAATTGCCTGCTTGGTCCCTGACACAGCGGGGAACAGACTGAGCCTTTGGCCTGACCCAGCAGGTCTGTGCTTTTATTCTGACACAGTGCACAGGGAATAGTGAATCCCTGCTGGACTTACGGGCCATAGTGGCAAGCAGTGGACCATGAATATCCACCCTGATTTATGGGTAAAAGGCCTGTTCCTGTTTTAATATTCAAGCGCTGGCAGTGACTGGATAAGAGGTTAAAGTTGCTCTGCATTTGAAATTCCCATTCCCACAATTAGAATTACATGTCCTAGTCCAGTGTCCCAAAGGACACAGAAGCACAAGGAGATTTGGATGTAAGCCAAGAAGTGAAAAATGGAAAATATGCCTTAAAGCAAAAGTGATTTCCATCAGTTCAGTTTGTGGTAAAAGTTACCAGGAAGGCTTGATCATAGTATCCGACTGCTCTCTCTGGGACTAAAAACTCACTCCCTGGCTGAGAAGATCTAGTGACTTGAAGGGAATTAAAGAATTAAAGAAACCTTTATACCTCAGTATAAAGGTACCTTATAAAGGTACAGTAAGAAAATTCACTTTTAGGACAACCTACCAGCCATTGTAGCAGAGATGTTTCAGTTCAAACAACTGTTTTCTTAACAACAGTGCTCTAATTTACACAAGAACTAATTCAGGGCAGCCTGTGTCATGCAGGAAGTTACGCTGGGAGCTGAGCCGGCCTCCCTGGCTCTATAATCTACGGAAAAAAACCCTGCCTGTATTTCCCTTCCTCCCGTCCAAGTGTGTGAAAGGTCTGGCCTCCCCACTGGAGGCGTTTTCGGGAGAGCCAGGTTAGCACGGGTAGCAGGCAGCCACGCTCTGCCCATGTCCCAGCCAGCCGTTGGCCTCAGTGCTGACACATTTTAGCTTTATAAGGAAGCCACTCAGGAAGAATGAAGTGAAGCAGCATCCTGGAGCTGAGGCTCCATGGATGACAGTGCCACGGATCTGACACATATTCCTCAAACGGTTTTCTGCCTTCCTTCCTAGCCGAGGCAGGGACATGAGATAGAGCAGGGAACAGCAGCCCTGGCAGTGCTCAGCCCACTACAGGGCATAGCCCTGCAGGCTCCAACTCCCCAGCTCCAGGCATTGATCAAAACCGTCCCCTGCCTCCACACCAGTTCCCCAACTGCAGTGAGTGATTCCAGGAGTGATTCCATTAGGAGTAAAACAGGACCCCATCAATCTGGCTGGGCTGGTGTCATTGCAGACGCCTCACTGGTCTCATTCATAGTGGAGCAGCTTTGCTTATCATGTAAGCTGTTTGTGCTTCCAGCTCGACTTTCTGCTTCCCAGCTCAGTGCTTTTTCAAAGGCCCATACATGAAAATGGGTCAATAACTGCCCTAGTCACAGCTTCATGGAGGTTTTTGTTTTGGGCCACAGCCTCCACAAATAAGCTGGATCTGATTAGCTCCGAGGCAAGCGGCACAGGACCAGCTGCAGGCTGTATCTGCTGAGTAGAGATTTCCTCACCCATAAGATTGCTGACAGATGCTGTTGAGTAAAATACAGTGCTGCCTTTCACAAGCCAAAAGGGAAGTCCAGGGAAGAGAAGCAAGAGGCATGACAGTGGTATTCCGGGTAGTACTGTGTGTATGCACAGGCTCTTTCCTTAGGCAGGTTATATGTTATAGCTCAAGGGCAGAAAGTATAAAAGGGATATGGCTTCACAATGACCAGCTGCAATGAGAAATGGGCCAGACCTCACATCTTGGCCAATTCAGAAGTGCCACAGTCCTGAGCAGATTGAAATACCTCTCTGAAGTGACAAATGAATCCTGAAGCAGCTAAGAAACTTCATAGGAAACACAGAAGCAGTGAAATCAGATCCAGCTGGGATTTGTAGCAGCATCAGAATACAAAAGCTCTGTGCTGTTCCTGAAATGCTGCCTTCTTGCTGCAGGCTTTGTAATAGTCTTTCCCAGTATTTTGCTTTCTGGGGAATAGTCATAATGGTTTTACAACGAACAAGATGTTTACTGCTTATGTTTGTATCCTGCTGACTCACTTTATAATAGGTCTTTATACATAACCCTGCAGCTCCAGCACTTAGCCTCCAACATTTTCTGTGTATTTTAGACTGGAGCTGCTCTGCAGCCTTACCTAAAGGGAAATCAGAGTCTTTATAACCCAAGAGATGGACACCGGTGTCTCACAGTGTGCATAACAAGGTCTTTATTCAACAAGAGGGAGTAAAGAAAACACTGCGAGTGAACAAGCAGAAACAAGGAGCAGAGAGCTCCAAGAAGCTTTTCAGGTTCTGAATCAGGAAAGGGTAGTTGTTCTCCAGGCCAGAATTTAAGAAAGGAGGATCAATACCAGAAGCAAAGTCCTCTGCTCTGACTGAAAAGAGAAGTACTTGTGTCCAGGAGACATGGCCACTAGCAGCTCCACACAAGCCAGGTGTGGTGGCTGCAGCAGGAACAATGCTGGTAACTGCTGTTCCCTGGGCCTGGTTCACCTCAGCTCATCTCTGATATGGATGCATTGAGGCAGATTTGATGTTTGTTTTTATGCCAGTTGGCATTTTTCCTGGAGAGAAAAAAAGAAAAAGAAAATCAGCTATATGAGAGGACATTTGCTCAGGAGCACGCAGGACTCACAATAACCCTGTCTAGGCTTTTCCTGTTCCACTCCAGGTATCATACTAGGCTTTCCTGCTACAGCATCTTCCAGCTTCCGGCCTAACACAATCAATCTCTTCTACAAATTGGCATCTTTCTCGGTTGAGAAATCTCCCTGACAATTCCTGTGTCCACCTGCTATTCCCTCAAATTCTATCCTTGTTCCATCTTAAACAAGTCTGTCTTTCTCTTTGTTAGGAGTGTAGGACCTGTTCAGTCTCATAGAAATTGCTGGCAGCAGCACTCTCAGAAGGATCCAGACTGATCTCCACTTCCATTTCAGACAGTCAAACCCAACAGCCTGTATCCCTTCCATTTATCATTATTTATAGTCAGGGTGTGTATTTCAATTACTCAGCCTCTCTCAGATCTGTTAATTTCTCTTAACCACATCCACCTCTTGGGCATTATTACTCTTTGCTGATACTGATCACACATGGGAGCATGTTCAAAGACATTGTGCTAGCAGCTTACAGTAAGTGCACAGTGCTAGACAAAACTAAAATGATCAGAAGAATAAACAAAAAGGGAGTAAAGAGCAGCACAGAGGGATACTCAAAGAACACTCCTTCAGAAAGTGGAATGTGTGTTCAAATTAGAACAGAGAGAAAGGACAACTTCTGAAAATTAAAACTGTAGTGAAGCAGGACAAGGAAAGATTTGATGAGCAAATGGCTGAAAGAATAAGGATTATTAAACTTTCTCAAACATATCTAAAGAGGGTCAAGTGCCTGCAATGAACTGGCAGGAGATCCCATATCACTCCAGTGCTAACAATTAGTAGACAAATACTGTTGAGAAATAACTCCAAAAGGAAGAGTGACCAGAACTGTATGGTTCACCCACAGCTGGAATACTGTGAGTGGTTCTGGTGTTCCCAGTCTTGAAAACAAACAGAAAAGGTGCAGGTAGGAGTGACAAGTCCAAGGTACAACAAAATTTTCACACAACGACATATTAATTAAATAGAACAGGACTCAATAGCTGGGAAGAAACAAAAAAACATAAACAAAGGAAGGAAGCATGACAGACTTCCAAATGATGGCTGCTATACCCACTGATCTCAAAACAACTCTGGCTTAAAATCCCTAAACAACTGCTGTCAGGATAAACTTTGTTCTTAAATTCTTTCAGCCTTGGCTATGGGCACTGTCACAAGCAGGACAGTGGGACTGACCTTTGGGGAAACCCAGGATAGCTGCTGTTATCAAAAGGGAACCTCCAAGTAACAGACGCTGGACAAGTGCTCTTGTTACCAGCACACTCTGCTTGGTGTACACAAGTGACTGTCTTCCCATCCTGGAGACAGTGTTTGTGGGAATGCAGCCAGGAATCACAGGGGCTGCCTTTGTTTCCAAATCATAGCGGAAATTGCTTTCTAACTCTTACAAAAATACATAATTAACTTAGGATTAATATTGTTGCTCAAGCTCATTTCTGAACAACAGTCATTATACAGTCAAGAAAACACCAATTAGGATATTGATATCCATAATCTCTAATTAACATGACCTGGAGGTCCCCCAGGCCAAACCCATTCCTGACAGGAGAAGATATATAAGGAAAAATACCAGAACAGGGCAAGCCTACAGTGATACCTCTGCAGAATACCCCTTATACTAACATATTGCGGCTCAGGAACTTGGAGTAAGGAATGGTATCTTCAGGATTTTTTATCCAGAAATTTACCTACTTACTTTTCCATCTCATATAAACTTTACCTACTTATCACACAGTTAGAAATCTGTTCTACAGTGTAATTATGTGGCATTCAGAAAAGTATCTATCTCCCTTTTGTTCTGATACTTTCATTGGTGCATTTTCATCAATCCTTCTGTATCATTGGAAAGAGCTGCTGTATACAGTCTGGGACTTTACAGGCTTCCATACTTTCTTCTCCCTACCCCAAAGCTATCCCCAGTAGCAGAGAAGAGATCAGAACTACACATACTATCGCAGGTGTGGGTGCTCAATGCTTTTATACAATGGACTTACTATATCCTCGTTTTCTCTGTTCCTTTTGTAGTAATTCCTAACATTTGTTTTGCGGTTTTTGCCCCAATTAATGTTTTTCTAGAACTATTATATCATGGATCTATTTCCCAAATACTAGTAACTAGGTTAGAATCCATGTGCTGGACATATAAAGTCCAATTGTTACACCTATGTGTTTCACTTTATTACAAATGTAATCTACTATCATTAAGCGAAGTCACTTGGTGTATGAAATCCTTCTGTGACTCTTTACAGAGAGTTTTTCTTCTTTCCTTACCTTAAGTAACTCCTTACACTCAAACTTTTCCCCTTTATTGCCTCCCCACAACTTAAATTTGACAGCAAACCCCTCAGCAGATTCCTGTGATTCCCCTCCATATTGATTCCTATGTTCACTAAGTCTATTATTAAAATGGTATTGCAAGTGTGAGTTAAGAAGCTGAAGCTGGATGGCTGGAATCCATTTCAACCTCCAAGCCAATTTAAGCCAGTGTTACTCCACTGTTATAACCCAACTCATGTTATTAAGACCAGAAAGAAACCTCTTACTCAGTTTTATCTACAAGGTAACTGAGGAAGAATCTCTGTATCTGCATTCCTCTTTCTTGTTCCCTGCATTTCAACTGATCTCAGATATGCAACTTATTTACCTGGCTGTCCTGCTTGTGCCATCTGCACTCCTGCCAGCATTGGCTGCTGCTGAGCTGGTGCACCTGACATTGGGACCTGCTGCATGCCTGAAGCACCTGCAATGATGGCACTAGCTCCTGGCTGGCCTGACTGGACAGATCCTCCTGAGCCAGGGGGCCTCCGGTTTGACAGTCCTTTCCCAAAGGCCACAGCTGCTACCAGCGCGTTGGTATCTGCAGGGTTGAAAGTCTGCTTGTTCTGTCTTAAACCTATAGAAAAAAAAGTTATTTTGGAGCATTTTAGCAATCAAGTTTAAAAAGTAGCATCCTGAATTTACTTTTCTCCTATTTCAGTGCATGTAATAGAGATCAGCTTCTAACAAGCTGTCCTATAAGGGTCTCAGCAGGGTCAAAGAAGCTGCAAAATCCAAGGACAGTAGTGATCCAACTGCTTCTCCACTGAGAGCAGGGCATATGCTGCTCAGGGAAGAGGGAGCCAACTCCTCCATGCCCGTAAGAATGTTCCCGCTAAAGGCTCTTCCATGCTGAATCCTATGGCATGTAACAAAATGTTGTCATAAAAATGGCAACATCCCCTTTTGGAGGCTCATGAGCACCATGGTGTCTGAAAGTTTTCCTACCAGTTATACCATTAATCCTGGAAACCAGATAGAACCTGTGCCTGGATCCCTGCTTACACTATGTGTGTCAAAGATGACAAAAAATCCCCCACAAAAAACCCAGTACCTTTGAGAGTTGTACACAGCACTCCCAAGAATAGTGAACAGCTGATGGCAGAGACCAGTAAGATAAGGATGTCCAGCATCAGAGTCAGAACCAGAAAAAGCTGACCATGAGCCTAAAGCAGCCATCATCTAGAGGGTACCACACGAACATGTTGTGGACTCCTTCAGAACATAGCTAAGGAGGTTCCCATTCACTGCCACTGCATTTTCACAGTTATTTTTATCAATCCAAGTTATTTGGGATGTTTTATTGGTAAATACTTACCACCTCCTCAAAGGGGGCTATCACAAAGGGTTGAGATGACCTTCCTGCCATGCAGGACACATCACACCCACAGCACCCATTCTAAATTAGGGGGCTCCAGGACAGCCAGTCCTGCATCTTGCTTTTGTCTATGCTGCTCATCAGCGTTTCCTATGCTACAGGCTTTCAGATTTGCCTATTTTGCCACTGCTTTCTCAAGCCTGCTGGTTGGACCCTGCACCCCATTCCACCTCAGTGACATACCTCCACTTTCAGATTCACGCTCCTCCTTACTGATTTTCTCCAGCAGATTTGAGCACATTTTGTTCAGACTTTGGATCTGTTTCTGCAAAACGAAAACCATCAGAAACCACCAGGATACTTCCAACTCGGAACAAGTCAGTAAGGTAAACAAACAAGCTTTCTCCTCCCAGGGTCTGTGTAGCCATACAAGCATTCTGGTGGCAGAGCCTAGAGTGCTAATGCAGGCAGGACAGTATGGGGATAGACTAGCCTTTGCCTTTCTCTGACTGTTCTGATCTGTTCCCCTCCCATGAACAGCCAGTGGGCTGGATACCCCCTTTTTGTGCAGCTGTGGAGGAAACCAAACTTCAGCCAGGGTGAGCTAGAGAAATCTCAGACAGAAAAGGACACAGCAAAAAGGAAGCAGAGTTACAGGGCACCTTGTGCCCAAGGACTAAGAGGCAGAAGTATCCAACTCTTCTTCACCTACCTGTGCCACATCAGGGCTAATTCGAGCTGCATCTGTGATCAGCTGCTTCTCCTGCTCCTCCACTTCAGGGTCAGGCTTAGTTCGAAGATGGTCAGGCACTACCTCATGGCTGAACACTGGCACACGCCCCTCTGTCTGACGCTGCAATAGTCGGACAAGCCACGCTCAGAGTCTCCTCCTACAGCCGAGCACGCAGACAACTCCAGACCGGAGCACAGGCCATGGTGCTGGAACAAGCCTAGTTGCATGCTGTGGGGAAACCTTGATCTGGGCAGTATTAGGAAATTCCAGCCGTTTGTGTAAGAATTTGCTCTCTGCTTTTTTAGTGAGAGCAACCCACAGCGGTCTGCAGTGCAATCCCACCAGCATGGCCATCATCACTTGAAATGTTTTCCCACTCAAGCAGAAAGTAAATGTTGCCAGCACACACCAGAGATTCTGTAATACGCCCCATGTTGGTCAGATGACAACCAGTAGATGTCTAGATGCAGATATCTGACACAAACAGCACAGCTACGGCAGAGAAAACCAGGAGCTTGCAAGGAGACCTCCCAGTTACACAAGACAATCTCTTTCAGTCCCATCACGATGAAAATAACATATTTATCAACAGGAACACCTCCTATAAAGTATATCTAGTGCATTTGTAGGTGAAAGCCCCCAGCAAAGCAGCTCCCAGGCAGAAGTACTCATCACCTTCTCTTTCTCTACACCCAGAGCTGAGGAATGCCAAGCAGAATGAATGGCAAGCTGGAACAGATACACAAGCATTTCCTGATACTCCAGGGCAACATTTAGAGTGAAGTTTCTTACCATGATCTCCTCATCACGGTCTGGAGACAGCACCAGGGGTATGATAACCTGGTTTCGCAACAGTGGGGTCTTCTCATGCTTTAGCACTTTGTTCAAGGTGTTCAGCTGCCCAGAGAGCAATGCAAAGCTGTCCAGAACTGAAGGCCTGGGAAAGCAAATAAAGAGGACAGAACATGGAAAGGGATGCCACAGATGGCTTTTATCTCTTCTTCACTGAAATGGTTGAGGAGTGAGGAAATAATACTATTACTCCTCAAATCAGTCTACTCCAGACAGTAAGCAGTAAAACCTAGTGCAAGCATGGACAAATCCCAGTCCCTAGTGCAAATAGCTCAAATGCTGCAAACAGGGACATGACAAGCAGTGCACTGAAATGACAGTTTTTTGGTATTTCAGTAACTGTACTGGGTTTGTACATCAGTGTTTTCGTAGTGGGGGGGCTGCAGGGGTGGCTTCTGTGAGCAGCTGCTAGAAGCTTCCCCTGTGTCTGATAGAGCCAATGCCAGTGGCTCCAAGGCATACCCACTGCTGGCCAAGACTGAGCCCATCAGTGATGGTGGTAGCACCTCTGGGACAATGTGTTTAAGAAGAGGGGAAAAACTGTGCAACAGCAACTGCAGCCAGAAAGAAGAGAGAGAGTATGTGAGGAGCAGCTCTGCGTACATCAAGGTCAGTGCAGGCAGAAGGAAGGAGGTGCTCCAGGCACCAGAACAGAGATTCTCCTCCAGCCTATGGTACAGACCATAGTGAGGCAGGCTGTGCCCCTGCAACCCACGGAGGGCCGCAGCGGCGCAGCTGCCCATACCAGACGAAGGGGATGTGTCCGACGGAGGCTGTGACCCCATGGGAAGCCTGTGCTGGAGCAGGCTCCTGGCAGGACCTCAGGCCTTGTGGAGAGAGGACCCCACACTGGAGCAGGGGAAGAGCATGAGAAGTCCTTCCTCTGAGGAGGAAGGAGCAGCAGAGAAAAAATGTGATGAACTGACCACAACTTCCTGTCCTCCCTGTACCATTAAGGGGAGGAGTTAGAGAATTTGGGAGTAAAGTTAAGCCCAGGAAGAAGTAGGGGTGGGGGGAAGATGTTTTAAGGTTTAGTTTTTATTTCTCATTACTTTACTCTGCTTTGACAAGTAATAAATTAAACTAACTGCCCCAAGTTGAGTCTGTTTTGCCCGTGAAAGTAATTCGTGAATGATCTCTCCCTGTCCTTATCCTGACCCATGAGCCTTTCATTTTATTTCCTCTCCCCTGTCCAGCTGAGGAAGGGAATGATAAGAGCGGCTTTGGTGGGCATCTGGCATCCAGCCAGGGTCAACTCACGCCAGCAATACACACAGAAGCAATGCTTTCCTTATCTCTAACTCTCCCAGTGCAATTCTAGAGCAAAGTCTGAGAACAATTTAACTCCTAAGCAGTACAGCCAAGAGAGACAATATTTATAGCTTGGCTATCCACACTAAGCAATAATGAAGCAAAGTAACTGGTAATCTTGTCAAGGAGGTCCCCTTCAGCTTGCTGTCTCTGGAATATTCATCATCTCTCCTGCCTTCTGTAACATTAACTATAAAAACTGACTGCCTGTGAAGCTCTGCTGCAGTGGTAGATGCTGTCCAGGATACTGTATAGTTCATTAAGCTGCAGTTATTACACCTTTGTGGTTCTTCAGGAAGAGAATGCCACCTTGCAAATCTCTCAAGCTGCCTGGCAAAACATGCAGAACCAGCAAAATACAAGAGCTCAGTTTATACCAGAGCCAGAAAGGGCAAGAAATGCAAAAGACCCATTGCTCATTTTATCGTGTATGTGGGTCTCTGAAATAATTTGTCCGAGAAGCTCCCAGTCACTGCAGATGCAAGTCCAGTTTTCATGAAATGTCTAGACCAAAAGGTGTTAACATGACTCTGGACAGCATGAAACTAATGGATTTCAACTGCTTTCCTGGTGGAAGATGTGTCATGGTGCTACTGACAATAGGTTGATGGTTTTTAACTATACTTTTGTTCCTTTGAGCCAAGTCTGGAACAGCTTCAGCAGTGATCAGCAGTGCCCCCAGCTCTGTGGGACTCCTTACTTACCAAGTGAGTCGGTCATACTCATTCTCCAGCTTGTAGATAAAACTGACCAAAGAGTTCTTCAGGTCAGCCACCTGACTGATGAGTGCCTCCAGGGACAGCTCCAGCTGCTTCTCTTCTCTCTAAAAAAAGGAAAGACGAGGGATGAGAACAGAGCTTTACACCTTCCTCGGGTGTTGTGGATCCGCACAGATTCATCCAGTCTCACCTACAGAGAACCTTCTTTTCAAGGGCAGCAAACACAAGACCCTGCAGATAAAAAATCCTATGGTTTCACATTGTCCCCTCCCCCTTAAGTCATAACACTTAGTCAAGAGACTTGTGCTTATCTGTCCTCTTTAGCATCTAGATTAGCAAAGATATTATCACTTATATCTGCTTTTTACCACATTGGGCAGTCATCAAAGTTAGCTCATGCCACCTTTGTAAGTCATTTAAGCTAATGCAGCTCAAAGCACATTCACATCTCTCAGCCTTTACTGACAGCAGATGTGGGCACAGTGATGTCTGCATCCAAAACAGCCCTTTGCAAAATGAATATCAGGTCCACGGCCTAAAGACTCCAGTTCCTGTCCTTCACCTCCTCCTTTATTAAGTGCTCCTTCCAGCTGCCAAAGAAACTGGCAGCTCCTCTTCCTTGTGCCTTACCGGCTGCAGGAGGCCCTGCCGTGACAGACAGCACACACTGACACACGCACACATCACCCCCTACCTTTTGCTCTGATTACACTGCTTAAATAACCTTTTCCACTGACATGTGCAGGTCAGGGAGGACAGTGACAAAGGTGTCCTGACAAAGTGCCAGGGCAGGGGATCTGCTGCCAAAGACACCAAGGTATATCCCTGACTCTTGCAAAAACCCTCTAGAATCTTACCTATTCTCACTTATTCATACTACAGTATTGCACAAAATACAATTAAAGCTCCAACTGTAATGAACTGCTCATGTAAGTCGAGAACTGTACAATAATAATCCATGAGGAGGGTGGGACACAGCAATCAAATAATAGAAAGGGAATGAC